AAGGTAATTTTATATTTACTGATCATGTACCCTTGGCTGTCTCCTCCCTTGTTTGTGTAAATTCTGACAGATCTCTCTCTTAATTCTGATGCAGTAACAGACCAGAAAAACGAGCTCGTTAACTGTTTATTTCCAATGCTGAGTCAAGGGACTCACCATTGTTGAGGGCAGCGGTGTGGTAAAAAAACATCTGGCAGCTTCCACTGTCCAGAGGCCTCTTCATGTCTACTTCCAATGTGTAGCTGTGCTCTGGCTGCTTCAGGTTGCCAGGAGCAAGCAAGCAGGATGAGGGGGGAATGCTTTTATCTCTTTAATAAAAAATTCTAGGGGTGCCTGGGTGGCTCAGTCAGCTGAGTGACTCGATTTTGGCTCAGGTCACAATCCCAGGGTCATGGGATCAAGACCAGCGTCAGAGTGCGTGCTGAGTAGGAAGCCTGCTTGGGATTCTCTCTCCTCCCCCTGCCTCTCTCCCCAGCTTGCATTCTCTAAAATTATAAAACTAAATGAAAATAAAATTCTAGGGGGCGCCTGGCTGGCTTAGTTGGGAGAGTATGCAACTCTTGATCTCAGGATTTTGAGTTTGAGCCCCAGGATGGGTGTAGAGAGATTATTCAAAAGTAAAATCCTAAAATCTAGCCATCCACTTTAACTATTAGATTATACAAATGAAAACTCATCTTTTTATCACTCCTTTCTACTGTAATCTTACTGATTTGAATCTTAATGATTTATGTAAAAAAAAATTTTTTTTTTAACATTTATCATTGAGAGACAGAGACAGAGAGAGCATGAGCATGGGAGAGGCAGAGAGAGGGGGAGACACAGAATCCGAAGCAGGCTCCAGGTTCTGAGCTGTCAGCACAGAGCCTGACGCGGGGCTCAAACTCATAAACTGCGAGATCATGACCTGAGTGGAAGTCAGACACTTTACCGACTGAGCCACCCAGGTGCCCCTGAATCTTAAAGATTTAAAACAGACCTAATTCATATTAAATATGAATACATTTAATGCCCAAATTGTTGTTTTGGTAGCAGAAATTTTATTGTGGGATGAAGACTTTTTTGCTCCTTTGATTTTAAAAGAAATCTGCCTGCAACCTGACAGAATTCACAGAAAGTTACAATTACCTATAGGTGAAGTGAGTTATGGAGGCATCACATCTTACAAAAATAAACTGCCAGGATCTGGGCTTTTGGGCTCAAATCCAAGAATTTTTGTCTTTGCGAACAACTGATATTTTTCTTATTTTTTTGTGAATATGGTTGAACAATGTGAATCCACTATATAAGCCAAGCACACATCAACAGGAATTAATGTGGGCTTCAGAGATACTGAATAAATGGTTTCATTTAGTTGTAACAGTGAAATGTCTTCTTCAGGGTCTTGGTATCAGAATCTGTAATTGCTAATTCTGAAGGTGGAATTAGCTTATACTAAGAATTTATGTGAGATGAACACTTACATCTTCAAATTCAGTAAGAGATTTAGGAAACAAAGGATCACTCCAATTCTAAGACTAAAATACATGTAAAATGGAGGCCTCAAAGGATCTCACATCATTGTGATAGGACAAAATCATCACTGAGGTGTTAAGTGACTCAATGAATGGGCCAGTGTTTGCTGTCATCACACTCTTGGTTCCATTTGTTACAGGGCATTGGATTAGTCTAAATCTCTGTTCCACACAAGTACTAACCTTGGACTGATAGTAACCAAGGCTGTATTACAAGGACCACAAATAAAATGCAGACACCCAAAACCAGCCCTTTCACTGACAAAGTACTGTTCCCACGCTTGATATTCAAAGAGAGCTGTTTATAAATGTCAAGCCTTTCCTCTCCACATAAACATCGAGGTTAAATTACATAACCTTTATGTGCCCTAGTTTCCTCAGCTTTAAAATGGAGATGGAGATGATAATAATAGTCCCTATCTTCATAGGATTAAATGAGAAGATTAAATGAGGTAATATAAGCACTTCGAAACACTGCTTGGCACATATAATGCTCTAAGTAAGCACTTGCATATTGTTACTTAGTAAAACAGCAAGTTATGAAATTAAGATATCAAAACAATAGCTTTCCTATATAAAAAATGTTTGAAAATAACATAAAAGATCCAATTCACATGGAATCACAAAAGAAAGATACTATGGAAATATACAGTACCTATATGAGGAAAATAAAGGTTCTGAAGGTTATAAAGACTTAGGTAAATAAAAAGACATTATATATTCCTAAATTTCAAATTTCAATATTATAGGGGTGTCAATTTTTCCTAAATTAACCTACAAATTTACTGCAATCCTAATAAAAATACCAAAATAACTTGTGGTATTAACAAAATGATACTAAAGTTCATTTAGAAAAATGTAATAGCCAGAAAATTTCTGAAAAGTAACAGTGATTTAGGTAGAGATTATATCTATCACACATTAAAATACAGCATGAATTAAAATAGGGAAAAATACAAACTAATGGTCAATAAAACAGAATTCAGAAACAGACCAAAATGCAAATAAAGTCTATGATAAAGGTAGTATTTCAGACTAGTTGGGGAAGGAGAAATTGCCCAATAAAATCTGTACAATATCTGGGTATTTAAGAAGAAAGCTGGATCTCTATTAAATAATATATCAGTCAGGGTTCACTGTAGGAACAGAAACTCTGCTAGGTATTTCAAAGAACGGGACTGAATATAGGTCCTTAAAAATCGAGAAAAAGCTGCAGGGGCAGAAAGTGGGGGCCAACATGTTTTAAATTTTTTTTTTAATTTTTATTTTGAGAGAGAGAGAGAGAGAGAGAGAGAGAGAGAGAATTTCAAGCAGGTTCTGAGCTGTCAGCACAGAGCCCAACTTCACAAACTGTGAGATCATGACCTGAGCTGAAATCAAGGGTCAGACACTTAACTGACTGAACCACCCAGATGCCCCAGCCAACATGCTTTTAGACTCAAGGTTATATCACCTTCTGTGATCCAGGGAATATAAATTCAGTGCTGCTACTGCCACCAGCATTGCCTCATGCCCATGCAGCAGGTGACAGACACTAAAACATGGAGTCTAGTTGCTACAAACTTCAGGTGGCAGGAGCTTGCTTATCCACTAGCACAGCCGTGGTAGATGGTCTCTACCTTCCAAATCTTGACCAAATGCAAATCTCTGGCAGAACCTAACCTGTTCAGAACGAACCCTACTTACCTTGGATTCTACAAAACTTCATTTTTGGCCTTTCATCCCCTTTGGTATGAGATGGGGAGGCATGGGACATAATGTCAAGTGCTAAGAGACCGTACCTAGCATATATTCTCACACTAAAGTCAATTCCAGATGGATGAATTATCTGTAAAAATAAAATGAACTTATTGAAATGTTCCAGAAGAAAGAGTGAATGACTTTATAATATTGAGCGTAAGAAGTATTTCTAAGTACAGCATATAATACCAAAGCCATAAAGGAAAAGTGATGGATTTACTACATAACGGTCATACCTATCAGCACAGTTGACCCTTGAACAACAGATTTTTTTAGATAAATACAGTACAGTATTGTAAGTTATTTTCTCATGATTTTCATTCATTCATTCGTTCATTCATTCATTCATTCATTCAGAGAAAGGGAGAGAACGCAGAGGCAGGGGAGGGGCAGAGAAAGAGGGAGAGAGAATAGAATGCCAAGCAGGCTCTGTGTGCTGTCAGCACAGAGCCCAATGCAGGGCTTGAACCCTAAGCCAAAATCAAGAGTTGGACACTTAACCAACTTGAGCCACTCAGGCTCCCTGTTTCTCATGATTTTCTTAACACTTTTTCTCTCATTTACTTTATTGTAAGAATACAGTATATAATACATATAACACAAAATGTGTGTTGACTGTTTACGTTATTGCTAAGGCTTCTGGTCAACAGTATGCTATTAGTAGTTAAGTTTTTGAGGAGTAAATGCAGATTTTCAATTGCGTGGTTGGGGAGGGTGGGGGTCAGTGTCCATAAACCCATGCTGTTCAAGGGTCAGCTAGATTTTATTTATTTATTTATTTTTATTTTTTTTAACGTTTTATTTATTTATGAGACAGAGAGAGACAGAGCATGAATGGGGGAGGGTCAGAGAGAGGGAGACACAGAATCTGAAATAGGCTCCAGGCTCTGAGCTGTCAGCACAGAGCCCGAAGCGGGGCTCGAACTCACGAACCGCGAGATCATGACCTGAGCTGAAGTCGGCTGCCTAACCGACTGAGCCACCCAGGTGCCCCAGGGTCAGCTAGATTTTAAACGCACAAATACTTTGACCAGCTATGCCATTGCTAGAAATTTATATTATAAAAATTTGAGTGTTTGTGAAGGTTATGTACCGAAATAATGCAGCATTATATATAAGCAAAACTCTGAAGATGAGTAATATATAAAATTATGGTCCCTAATGTGACAACACTAGGAGGACAGGTTAAAAGAGGTATTTGAAATGAAGACATTCCTTTTGTGTAATACCTGTGCAAACACATCCTTATATTATCCAACCTATACAAATATTACATTGTTTTTATAGAATATCAACCCGGGCTATCTTGATGGGAAGATTATGGTGCATTCCTTTTTTTTTTGTAACTCTCTGATTTAGAATTTTTAAGTTCCCAACTTCCCTCTCCTCCCCTGCCCCCAAAAAGATAATTTTTGTAACTATACATTTATTTTCTCTTAGAATATTCACAATTAATTCTGGCTTTCTAATTTAAACATACGTGATTCTGAAATTACATAAAATTGTGTTCTTTAGAAGTATCTGGGAAGACAGTATACACTGTGAAATTATTTCTATTAATGACAATACTATTTTACACATAAAAGAAATTATGAATTTCAAATGGAAAAAAACCTGCACTTATAGAAAATCATTCTATCATACACACACTTAAAGTTTTTACTTTTACTACCTTTTCACTTAAAATAATTCTTTCCCAAAAAACTATATTTCAGTATAAGACAGATAAGCATCTGGTAAGTAATTAATATGTACATAGGTAGTTGTGAAAAATTACCCACAATTCTAATATATTCAGTTCCAAAGGAGAAAAATTTCCTTTTAGAAAGCATTTTAACATTTCTTCTCATCATCTACAAAGCAACAACACTATTTAAATTATTAAACATGGCAAATCCAAAGATATGTAATCATAAAGTCCCTTAAGAAGTATGTTTGAAAAATCATTATTCCATAAAATATTTACAGTGTTAAATTACATGGTAGCAACCTTGTCTTGATCTATTTTAGTTGAACATATTAATAAGAATCTCCAAAAAAAAAAAAATCCCTATTCATCCTTAATTAAGGAGACTTTATCCTTGGGTTTATTCAGCATCTTTATATCATCCAAAAGCTTTCTGGGTGTTAAAATATGCGTAGAACCTGGTAGGAGAAAAGATAAATTTTCAGAGGCCAGCACTTAAATAGATTCTTCTTGGTTAATTATATTGCCCTGTCCCTCAAATTTGCAAAGTGCCATAGCTTGGAGCAATTTAACAAAATTTCTATAGGACACGTTCCCGAAATCTGCCTATACCACAATATTTCACGTCCTTCCTCTTCATTGAACAGTAGGCTTAATAATTCACTCCTAGGGCTCTGTCTTCTTTGTGCTATATATTGATATGCTGAACAGCAAAACTGGAAGTTATTCTATCCCTGTGGCAGAACACGATAGTCACTGTTCAACCACAGGATCATTAAGCAGTGCTCTAGATTTAGACCTGGTGTACAAATGTTGCATTCCAGAGACGAGGAGAGGTTATATATCAGTGGCTTTGATAAAATTCTTAAAACTAAATTCCACACAAGACTTGCCAATGTCACATTCACAAAAACATTCAAAATATTTCTGTAATAAAAATGTATTTATGTCTCAAAATTTATTTCATAAGAGCAGAACATAATATTTTAAAAGATACTTAATATTTAAATCATATAGTATCTTGAAGCTTATTCCTTCAAAATCAGAGTATTTAAAAATCAAATTATCAAAAAGGTCAACCAGGAAAAACTAGTACATCACATAAAACACACTATGATTAATACCTTTTTGCACTGAACAATTAGTCTTACATATAAAATACAACATAAAGTTTTACATATATGTTCTTGCATTTAGAGTTTGTTTAAAATAAAATTGAAAAGTGGAAAAAAAAGACTTACCAATAATAACTTCACAGGATTTATGTGCCTGAGAAACTTCATAAGCACAACGCATTTCAGAGTATGTAATTCCTCCAATTACAAAAACAATCAGTTTTGAGCCATTTTTCCTGTCCTCTAAATAATTAGCTCTGGGCTTCTGGCGAGCACTAAAAAATAAACACAAACATGTTAAAAACATTTCCAAAACCATAGTGCTTGTAGATTTCTTAAAAAGGCTAATTCAAGCAAACTCAAAATTTGGCACCAACTACACTGATTTTATGGAAATGACTTAACTATGGTATGACTGGAGGATCAAGAATTAGATAGGACAGCCCCACTTCAAGTTTAATTTTGATCAGGGGTGCCTCGCTGGCTCAGTTGGAAGATGGTGCAACTCTTGGAATTCTCTCTCCCTCTCTCTACCCCTCCCCTGCTCACTCTCTCTCTCAAAATAAATAAACTTAAAAAAAAAAGTGGGGGGATGCCTGGATGGCTCAGTCGGTTAAGCACCTGACTTCAGCTCAGGTCATGATCTTGCAGTTTGTGCATTCAAGCCCTGCAATGGGCTCTGTGCTGACAGCTCAGAGCTTGGAGCCTGCTTCAGATTCTGTGTCTCCATCTCTCTCTGCCCCTCCCCTGCTTGTACTCTCTCTCTCTCTCTCTGTCTCTTTCAAAAATAGATTAAAAAAAAAACATTTTTTTTTTTTTTTAAAGAGTGGTCTCTGAGGGCTCTCATAAAAAATAAAATATAAAATAAAAAATAAAATAAAACTCTATATACCTGAAAAGTCTATGACTTTCTGGAGTCTTTAAAACCCTCTTGCTTCAGTGCCACTTTCCCCATTTTTTTTAACTTCACAAAGTCACAGACTTCTCAGGTATATTATTTCTTCATATGAAATAAATGAGAGTGTCAGCTGTATTTATAGGTATAGGGAGGGAGGCACAGGTATGGATTTGCAGTTGATGTGGTACTGGGACATTCTATGCTGGAACTCACTGAAGTATGATGGCAGGAGATATTGAAGATATATCTGTACTTTTGTGTTACCTGCAGCATTATTCACAATAGCGACGATACAGAAAACACTTAAATGTCTGCTGGTAGAGAAATGGATAAAGAAAATGTAGTGTATATATCCAGTGGAATATTATTCAGCCTTAAAACAAAAAAAAAAAAAAAAAAAAAAAAAAAAAAAAAAAAAAAAAAAAAAAAGGAAATTCTGCTAATGGCAACACGGATGAACCTGCTAAGTGAAATTACATTGGACTCAAAGACAAACACTGCATGATCTCACTTCTCTGTGGAATATGAAACAAATTCACAGAAGCAGAGAATAGATTACTGGCTGCCAGGAGTTGGGGGCGGGAAAGGGAAATGAGGTAGTGTTGATCAAAGGACACAAAGTTTCAGTTATGCAAGATGAATTAATTCTGGAGACCTAATGTACTGCCTAGTGACTATAGTTAACAAAAATTATATTGTATATTGAAATTTGCTAAAAGGTTAGATCTTAAATTATTAAATTAAGCCTTCTCACCCCCCCACGCCCCCACACGCATGCGAAAGAAAATGATAACTTTGTAAAGGTAATAGATACATTAATTAGCTTGTGGTGATCATTTACAATGTACATGTATCAAAATACCAAACTGTAGCTCTTGAATATATACAGTGTTTCTAAGTCAATTACACCTCAATAAAGTTGTTTTAAAAAAAAAAAAGATAAAAGGAGTTAGACCTGGGTTACAACTCTGATTCTGTTGCTTTCTAATTCAGTTGCACTTTTCAGCAAGTTACGGAACTTCTTTCTAAACTTCAAGGGTTGTTTCCGGGTTAAATGAAAAAATGTACAGGATACACAAAGTATGCAATCTGGTACCAAGGAAACACTCAATAAATAATAGCTATTATTTATATGTCACTTCCTCCCCCAGATTGCTCTAGATCTGCACTGTCCAATACAGGAGCCACTAGCTCCATGAGGCTATTAAAATTTTTTTAAAGTTTATTTATTTATTTATTTTGAGAGAGGGAGAGAGAGGGAGAAAGAGAGTGAGCGAGCGTGAGTGGGACAGGGGCAAAGAGAGAGAATACCAAGCAGGCTCTGCACTATCAGCACAGAGCCTGATTCAGGGCTCGAACCCATGAACCATGAGATCATGACCTGAGCCAAAACCAAGAGTCAGACGCTCAACCGACTGAACCACCCAGGTGCCCCAAAGCTACTTAAATGTAATTAAAATTAAATAAAATTAAAAATTCAGTCATACTAGCCACATATCATGTGCTCAACAGCCATATGTGGCTAGTGACTATCATACTATAGAGGACAGATATATGACATTTCCATTACTGCAAGAAAGTTCTACTGGATAGCACGGCTATTCACAGGAATCATGTTCCCACACTTCACTAGTAAAAATTTTGAGCTTCTACTTCAAAAGTAAATATTTCAAAATAAAATTTTTCTACATCTAGGGGCGCCTGGGTGGCTCAGTTAGTTAAGTGTCCGACTTCGGCTCAGGTCATGATCTCGTGGTTTGTGGGTTTGAGGCCCTGCATCAGGCTCTGTGCTGACAGCTCAGAGCCTGGAGCCTGCTTCTAATTCTGTGTCTCCCACTCTCTCTGGCTCTCCCCGACTCATGCTCTGTCTCTCTCTCAGAAATAAATAAACATTAAAAAAAATTTTTTTTAAATTATATGTGTATTGGTGCATATTAATAAAGCTTTCATTTCTCCCTCTTTTGTAAAAATAAATACCCTCAAATCATCTTGTCACCCACTTTGGAGACCATGTTCTAGAGGACCTCTAAGATCCTGCAATGTAGGATCCCATAGTAAACTTTTAATAATGTTCTTGTCTACATCATTTCCATCTGACATCTTAAGGAATGACGAAGGCATCAACAACAGAAAAAAAAAGTAAGAATCAGTAACTGGTTTTGAAAGATGAAACAGGAATTAAGATACACTCATGATTCCCATATAAGATACATCAAGGAGATACTAAAAGTGCAATTTTGGTTTAAAAACTGTTTCCAAAGTAAGAGAATTGGAGTAAGGAAGGAAAAAAAAAAAAAAAAAAAAAAAAAAAAAAAAAAAAAAAAGGAAGAAAAATGGGATCATGCTGCTCAAAACAATTATGTGGTTCTAACAATTTTTAAACTTCTGAATAGCAGTTTTGAGGGATTATATTTAATTTGTTTCACATATATGTATAAGATGCTGTGCTAGTGTTTTACATTCTGATAGATTAAACAAATTGTAATTAAAATCCCTAGATCCTAAAAATCTCACTCTAGAAAGCATCTAGAAGCTTTGGTTAAAATAAGAATGAAACTCTTTTTAAAAGCACAGCTGAAAGTAAACAAGTAAGAGAAATCTCCCAAAGGCCAGCAGTAAAAAGGAAGCTAAAAACTAGGCTGGTAAACTGAGTTGAGGCTTGGTCTGCCTTGTAGAATGTTAGCTTAATCTTGGCAAACAAAGATGTTTACCAGTTTAATGAACAAAGGAGACAAAGCCTTAGGTATTGTGCAAAGTAGGGTCTGGGAGTTGACACCCCTGCATTACATAAGATCATGACATTCATTTGTTCTACAGTATGGTATGTTTTCATATTGCTTACCTAGACTCATTTAAAACAGGTCACGGTTAAAGAAAAACTGTCTTTTAAGTCACTATTCTTCCAGAAGAATTCTCAAAATAAGAGTACTTCTCAATGTAAGAGTACTTTCAATTATTAGTCTATAATATCATACTTCTATAGCTTTTACCTTACAGCCCCTGAGCCATTCCATACTGCTGGACACTGGGAACAATATGGCCATTCTTTTGAATCTAATCTATTATCGATGGCATCCTAGGGAAGAAAAAAATTAACACCATCAGAAAAATGTAAATTCCAGGATTTTTTTCTTAATATTTATTTTTGAGAGACACAGAGACAGAACACGAGCCAGGGAGGGACAGAGAGAGAGGGAGACACAGAATCCAAAGCAGGCTCCAGGCTCTGAGCTATCAGCACAGAGCCCAACACGGGGCTTGAACCCATGAACCATGAGATCATGACCTGGGCCGAAGTGGGACACTGAACCGACTAAGCCACCCAGGTGCCCCCTCCAGGATTTTTTATTTGTATGTTTTACATAAAACTCAAAATTTGTGTTAACAATCAAGGAACCTCAAGATATATAAATATTTAATAAAATAAGGTTAACCCTCTCTCTGAAACTTACAAACCTTACTTGCTTCAAAAATTAATGCAATCCTTTATTTACTTATTAAATTAACATTTACTGAATGTCTAAGTTTCATTTGGAGGGTCTACTGGTGTAAGGATTACAGAGACTTTATCAAAACCTTTATCTCTAGAGCACTACAGGTTTCTAAATACCATCCTAGTCCTGACATACCTCTTAGGCTACTGGAGAGTCCAGGTTTTGCCCTTCATTGCAATGGCTCTAAAATAAAATGTGCGCTCCTGACCTAGGGGTAATCAAGACAATCCAAGGGGATGAGAGAAGTTTTCCTTTATGTTTAAAAAAAATTTTTTAAGGGTTACATTTTATGATATATGTATGGGTATACTATATACATACATTATGCTTTATCAGTACAGTAATGCATACTTCACAAATAGTTCATATGCTAACTCATGTTCATAATTTTTATGGTTAAGTGTACATGATTAAAACAGTTTGGAGACCACTGCTTTACAGCATGGTAGTATAACAGGTATCAGTAGGTGGGCACAAGGAATGAGCACAAGGTACTGAGTAGTCCAAGAATATTTCATTAAGATTGTAAGAAGCCTAGCTTGCATGTAACTAAGTAAGTAAAGTAACTAAATAAATAAATACATACATAAAAAGATTGTAAGAGGCAAAGAAACCAAGTTTCAGGAGAAATCTTGAAGGCCTTAGAATGTCACTGAGCCAAAAATAGACCATTTTTTAATTAACATGCAAATCCTTGTTACAGGGTTCAGGATAGTCAATTCTCACTTTAAAAGTACTAGCCAAGGGCCACCTGGGTGGCTCAGTCAGTTAAGTGTCTGACTCTTGATTTTGGCTCAGGTCATGAACTCAAGGTTCAAGAAATCAAGCCCTCTCTGCTTGTCAGGCTCTCTGCTGGCAGCGCCGAGCCTGCTTGGGATTCTCTTTCTCTGTCCCTCCCCTGCCCACGCTCTCTTGCTCTCAAACATTAAGAAATATATTTTTTTAAAGTACTAGCCAAGAAAGACTACTTAATTCTACATCCTTGTTATGGATAGGGAAAAAAATCGTATGCTATATAACAAAGTCTAAATTCTTTAAACTTTTCATCTATGTTAAACATGTATGAATGACATAAAATTAGCCAAGCAAAACAGGAAAATCATAGTAATAAATTATAAACATTTAGTTCCCAAAGCAAAATAGAAATTGGGGTTTAAGTCAAAGGAAAATTGGAATAAATAGAACTATATGATTATAACTGAAGAATCAATGCCATGATTTTATTGTTCATAATATAATTTTTATTAGTTCATTTTCTAATTTCCTATAAATGAATATTAATTTCTAAAAGGAAACAGTATTAAAGGCATAAACCATCTGTTGGATATAACAGCAAACTACAATTTACAATTTACAGTTTAATATCACAAATACATTTCCAAGAATACTAGAGTGTAACTTTTTTTTAATGTTTATTTTTGAGAGAAAGAGACAGAGTGTGAGCACGAGAGGGGCAGAGAGTGAGGGAAACACGGAATTCGAAGCAGGCTCCAGGCTCTGAGCTGTCAGCACAGAGCCCGACGCGGCGCTTGAACTCATGAGCAGTGAGATCATGACCTGAGCTGAAGTCGGGCTTAACTGACTGAGCCAGCTAGGTACCCCTGGAGTCTAACACTTTCTAACAGTGGTAACATACAAATGTTATTTTGTTGAACTTTCATTCAAATAAATTATTTATATTTATGCTACCTAGAGTTATTAAAACAATAGTTTTTTTCATAAGGCAGTATGTGTACTTATTTTTATCTTGAGGCCATTAGTGTGTAAGTTTGTTTGATATCTTCACAGAAAGAATCTTCAAGTTTCCTTTCTTCCCCTGACCCCAGATACAGCCTTCTTTTGTGAACTCTCCCAGTAGTGCAGAAAATTCCTGACCCATAGATATGCTCAGACTGACAAATATACAAAGAGTAAAGAATACTCTACAGAAAGGCGCTTAGCGTATAAGTAAAATTTAATGAATTATACCTCCAAAATATCTTTGATAAAAGGTGTCCATCGGGAGAGTTGAAAAGTTTCTTCTGTAGACCTATCCTTTCTTAATGGTTTGCCTTGTTGAGACTAATACAAATAGAGGAAAAAATTAAAAACCAGTAATTTTATTTAGTAATATTCACTTATTACATTTTCTTAAAAACATACATAATTTACAGCAAATACTATGTGTATTTGACTTAGAATTAAGAGTGGAAATGCTTACTCAAAAAAAATCTGAATAGGAGTGGTCACAAAATTTCACAGTATTTTGTGCTCTCATGATAAAATTTGTAATAGTATCAGAAATTATATTTACTCAAAAGTGCTATAAAACTTGATGGTAAAGACTGGGAGTCTAAACAGAATTCTTTCAAAATTTGCTATAAATGAATCATACAGAAAAGTATAAGAGCAAATTACAACAGAAAACAAAAGATACAAATTCACTAGAAAATGTACAAATTACTCATATACAGAAAATAAAATTAAAATTTTTCTACTTACCAAATCTATCGAGTGAAATTAAGACTATCCACATGGATTTCCCATATGAGGAAACATTTAATGTAAACACACACATGCATGTATATGAATATATACCAAATGTAAGATTTCTTACTGGGGGGACAATGGGAACACCAAGGTAACTCCAGTTACGGATCATGTCACTCTCATTTTCTATCTTTACATTCTGGATCAACCTGTCCAAATTTTCTTCTGTAGTTCCTTAGATAAAAATATATGAGTGAACAGTCACATAATTGCTACCACAATCATCTCTAGGTTTCAGGTAGTACCCATTAATAAAGCTTTTTAAATAAAAAACAAATGTTTAATTACATACCCCCTTCGGTGTTCTCCCAATTTCCTATTTTTCTTTATGTTTATCTTAACCAACTTCAGCTACTATCTTTGAATTTTCTAAGACTTTCTTATGATGAATAGTGAAGTACTTAATTATAAAGTGATTTTAGAGCTGAGTATTTCAATATATTCGTGAAATAAAGTCTCAATTACCATTAATACTGAAGATGTAAAGTAGAATCGCTCTTATTTTATCGTAATTATCATGATTTTTGTTGAGTAGAACTGGAAGAAGTACTCGCATAGAATCTTTTACTTTCTGTCCTTCTGCATCAGTTCCAAGTGCCAGGTCCTTAATGAAAATTAAATATAGTCAGCGGCCTATAATCCAAATTCATTTTTTTAATTAAAAACATCTTAAACCCAAGGGTGCCTGGCTGGCTCAGTCAGTAGAGTGTGAGACACTTGATCTTGAGGTTGTAAGTTCAAGTCCCATGTTGGATGTAAAGATTACTTAAAAATAAAATCTTTTAAAAAATACCTTAAATTATGCCAAATTTTAATGTAACACTGATGATACTTCACAAAAAAGCAGGCATCACTTGTAAACTATTGACTGTCTAAAATATAAAAAGTCAAAAAATAATTCAAAGAAAATCATTAATCTAAACCTATGCTAATATGGTAGCCTTGAGCCACATGTGGTCAATGAGCATTCATGTGGCTAGACTAAATTAAGATGTGCTTACAAGTGAAAACACCAGATTCTGAAGACTCAGTTTTTAAAAAGGAATGTAAAATATTTCACTAATAATTTTATATTGATTACATGTTGAAATAACATTTTGAATTTATTATGTTAGGTCAAGTATATTACTAATATTAACTATACGTGTTTCTTTTTACGTTTTAACATGATTACAGCTGACCCTTGAACAACACAGGTTTGAAGGGTGTGGGTCCACTTATACATGGATTTTTCCTTTTCCTTTTTTTTTTTTTTAAGTTTATTTATATTTAGAGAGAGAGAGACAGAGAGAGTGAGCAAGCATGAGTGGGGGAAGAACAGAGAGGGAGGGAGAGAGAGAATTCCAAGCAGGTTCTGTGCTGACAAAGCACAGAGCCTGACACAGTTTGTGGGTTTGAACCCACAAACCCTAAGATCATGACCTGAGCCAAAATCAAGAGTTAGATGCTTAACTGACTGAGCCACTCAGGCACCCTGGATTTTTTCAATAAATATAGCACAGGACTTTATTTTTATTTTTTTTTTTTAGTTTTTATTTAAATTCCAGTTATTTAACATACAGTGTAGTATTAGTTTCAGGTGTAGAATTATGTGATTCATCATCACTTAAATACAATACCCAGTGTTCATCATAACAAGTGCCCTCCTTAATATCCATGACCCATCTAGCCCATCCACCCACTCCCCTCCCCTCCCCTCCCCTCCAGTTAACTATCAGTTTGTTCTCTAAGTTTCTTGGTTTGCCTCTCTCTATTTCCCTTCCCCATCAATGTTCATTTGCTTTGTTTCTTAAATTCCACATATGAATGAAATCATATGGTATTTGTCTTTCTTGGACTTATTTTGTTTAGCTTAACAGTCCCTTGCTCCATCCACATTGTTGCAAATGGCAAGATTTCATTCTTTTTTTTATGGCTGGGTAATATTCCTGTGTGTGTGCGTATACACGCACACACACACCACTTCTTTATCCATTCCTCAGTCGATGGACACTTGGGCTCTTTCCATAATTTGGCTATTGTTGAACATGCTATAAATACTGGGGTGCATGTGGCCCTTCGAATCAGTATTTTTGTATACTGTGGGTAAATACCTAGTAGTGCAATTGCTAGATCATGGGGTAGTCCTATTTTTAACTTTTTGAGGAACCTCCATACTGTTTTCCAGAGTGGCTGCACCAGTTTAGCACAGCACTTTTGTTTTATTTCATTTTAATTAATTAATCAATTTAGAGGGAGAATGTATGTGTGAATGTGCAGGCACATGAGTGGGGGAGGGGTAGAGAGACCACAACCTGAGCCGAAATCAAGAGTTGGACGCTCAACTGAGCCACCCAAGCACCCCAGCACAGTACTTTAAATGTATTTTCTCTTATGATTTTCTTAGAAACATTTCATTTTCTCTAGCTTACAATATCATAAGAATACAGTATATAATATGTATAACATATAAAATATGTATTAATCAACTGCTTATGTTATCAGTAAGGCTTCTGGCCAACAGATGTTATTAGTAGTTAAGTTTTGGGGGAATCAAAAGTTATACATGGATTTTTTACTGTGTGGGCGGTCAGCGCCCCTGATCCTTGTTCAAGAGTCAACTGTACTATAATATTTAAAATTACATGGGGTATCTGGATGGCTCAGTTGGTTAAGCATCTGACTCTTGGTTTTGGCTCAGGTCATGATCTCACGGTTTGTGGGTTTGAGCCCTACATCAGGCACTGTGCTGATGATGCAGAGTCTGCTTGGGATTCCCTCTCTCCCTGTCTCACTGCCTCTCTCTCTCTCTCTCTCAAATAAACATTAAAAAAATTAAAATCACATATGGTTTGCATTCTATTTCTCTTTGCACTAAATAGTTTGGCATTAAAGAGGGGCCTCTAAAACAAGTTAAATGTGCCAATGCAGTACTCTGCAGGATGCTGCATTAAATGTTGTACCTACTGAGAAAGGCCTGCCAACAGTGCTACTCTGAAACAATGTTCTAAATACTTAAATTATTCCATTTAACCAAAAACGCATAATCACAGATTAGGAGGAACTGCTTACTATGATACTTATAGCTACATGATAATGTTGGTGAATAGTGATGTATTTAAATACTGCCTAGTTGAGTCCCCTTCTAAGAGAGATTTTGTGGTTTAGCACACCTTACAAAGTTCATTCCGGAAATGTATTAGGACATATGTATTTCTCACTGTGCACATACCTGTTCACTTTTGCAGAGCTTTTCTATATTAGGCTTGAATTTACTCATGCAATCTTCTGCTAAGTTAAGATGGACAACTTGCTGAAAAACAAATCAATCATTTAAATCATTTTAATTTCTTTTTAAGCAACTGATAATACTAAACTTGTAAGATGGGCCTGAAGGAAATTATGGGCTTAGGCAGAAAGTAGGTACCGTGTAAAGCAAGGAAAATAGCTCAAGAAAAAGAAAAAAGTGACAATTAACATGGTCCACAAGAGACAATCAACAGACAGCAAAAAACAGAAGGGTTGAGTATGTGTTGAGTTTAAGAGTAATGAAAAAGAAGCAGAGAAAGAAAAACAGCGAAGTCCTTAAAGTTTGAATTTATATTGTTGGTTCTTGATTAGGGTGCCATATGATAAAAAATGAGTTAAAATTATTCTGATAATGACTCATAAGAAAGAATGATACACCACTACCAACAACAACAAAAGTTTACCTACCAACGTGGCTTAACTGCTCTTAACTACTAACACATAACTATTAAGGAACCAAGTAGAGTAACAACCAATGGTCAATCCAATATTAAATTTTCTTATTAAGTTGATAAATACAAAATTCTCTGTCTGGCTGTTCAAGACAAAGGTATAAAAAGTTTAAGCTGAATTTGGATGAATCTACATTATATACAGAGAATACTACTGAGAAGCTTAAGTATTTGGAAAATTTCCCAGACCTAGACTAAAATTTTAGAGGTTAACTAACACCAACTATCCCATGACACCCACTACTAAACCTGACTATAGAACTGGACGACTAATAAACTAAAAATGATAAAGTATCTCATGTACAATACTGCTTACCTTAGTAATCTGTTTACGGAAATGGGGCATCTTTTTCATCAGTTGCGCAAGAGCACTAAGTGATGTCTAGAAAAAAATCAAACATTTTTAAAGCAAACTTATAATTCTGGTATGTTATATAAAAAATTTTTAAATCTTGTAGTTTTATTGTTACTTTTCTAAGTATTTGGCAAATTAAAAAAATTCAAGAGGCTTCCAGTTTCAGTCACAATAAAGTAGCTAATTTCAAAATTATTCTACCTCCATAAACAAAAATAGAATTGGACAAAGTAAATAAGACAACTCTCAGGCAATGGCTAAGAAAAACTGCTCACAGCTAAGATACGTAAGCAGAAGAAAGCACTGAAGGCGATCCCTGCACTTACCCTAGCTTTTCCCTTGAGCACTTTAGAAAACATGGTGAAAGGAAATAGAATTCAACTAAAAAGCACTAGTCTCTCCAGGCAGAGGAAAAAGAGGTCAGAGTTTGGGGCTGGTGAGATAGGGTTTGGGGGGCAGGGTGCTAGGAAAGAGCCAGTCACAACATAACTCAAAGATATAACTCAAAGAAGGGTTGTCTTTGGATCCCTGGCCAAACACCAACCTGCACATGTAAAGGGCAAAACTTTTAAAGGTCTAACACAGAGGGGCACCTGGGTGGCTCAGTTGGCTAAAAGCATCCAACTTTGGCTCAGGTCATGATCTCACGGTTCGTGGGTTTGAGCCCCACGTGAGACTCTGTGCTGACAGCTCAGAGCCTGGAGCCTCCTTCAGATTCTGTGTCTCCCCCTCTCTCTGCCCCTCCGCTGCTTGCGCTCTGTCTCTGTCTTTCAAAAATAAATAAAACGTGAAAAAAAACTTCAAAAAAAAAAAAAAAAAAAAAAAAAAGGCCTACCAGAGAACAATGGTGGGTGCCTAAATGCTGAACAGAGATTTCAGAGGGGTCTTAGTGCTAAGAAAATACTGGCATTCTCTGATCCAAAGAAGACAGTGTTAAGGGAATATCCCCAGAGATTAAGTTCTAGTCTAGGACTATGTCTCTGAACTAAAGGAAATATGCTAACCATAACAGTGCCTGACATGAAGTGGCAACAAAATTAAGATTATTCATCAGGAAATTAAATCCCTGCCAGAACAGAACTCAATACTCTTTGCAGGGAGAACCTCATCTAGAGCTTCTGCAATGTAATCTGTGATGTCTAACATACACGAAAATATTACTGGACATATAAGACAAAAAAAGTGATCAATACTGAATAGTAAAAGTAGACTCAAGACAAAGAAGATGCGGTATATATACACAATGGGATACTACCAGATGTAAACAAAGAATGACATCTTGCCGTTTGCAACAACATGGATGGATCTAGAGGGTATAATGCTAGTGAAATAAGTCAGAGAAAGACAAATATCATATGATTTCACTCATGTGGAATCTAAAAAACAAAAGAGCAAAGAAAAGAAGAGACAAACCAAAAAAACCAGACTCTTAACTGCAGAGAACAAACTGATGGTTACCAGAGAGAACATGGGTAGAGGGATGGGTGAAACAGGTGAAAGGGATTAAGAGTACACTTCTCATGATGAACACTGAATCATATATGGAATTGCTGAATCACTATATTGTATACCTGAAACTAATATAACACTGTACATTAACTATACTGGTATTAAAAAAAAAAAAAAGGTAGACCCAGGACAATCCAGATGTTGGAGTTAGCAGACAAGGAATTCAAAAATAGCATATTTATGTTAAAGAAAACAGGAAAAGATGGACTAAATGGATAAAAAGATACAGTACTTCAATAGAAAATTAGAATTTATTTTAAAAATTCAATGGATGTCTTGGAACTAAATGCGATATTAGAAATCAAAAACATAGTGATTCCTTTACAATGCTGGAGGGACTATAAAATAGTACAGCCACAGTATTTTGGAATTTTCTTATGAAGTTAAACATATATTTACTGTATGGCCCAGCAATCTCACCCTTAATTGTCTACCCAAGAGAATGAAAACATCTTTTTACACAAAACCTGAATGTTTTATAGTGGCTTTATTCATAATTGCCAACAACTTGAAAAAAATTTCAATGTTCAGCAAGATGGGAATAGATAAACACAGTGGAGTACTTCTAAGCATTAAAGGGTAAAACCACTGTTACAGCCAACATGAATGTCAAGTGCATTATCGTAAATGAGAAAAGTCATACTGTATTATTCCATTTAGATGACATTCTAGAAAAGGCAAATCTACAGAGACAGAAAACAGATTAGTGGTTGCCAGGAGATCAGAGTTGTATACAGAGGTTGTCTACAAAGAGGCACAAGGGAATTTGGGGGAGGTGGTGGAACTATTCTATAACTTGACTGTAGTTATATGATCATATGAATATGTCAAAACGAATAGAATTTTATACTATAGAGAGAAAACTTTACAAATCACTTAAAAATAATACATAGAATGGGTTTAACAGCATGCTGGACACAAAAGAGACAGAAATAGGAGACTCAAAGGTTAACAGAAAATATTCAATTAAAGTAGAGAGGGAAATATGGGGGGAAAAGAACAGAATATAAAAGATGTGGAATATGGTAAAAAAAAAAAAAAAAAAAAAAAAAAAAAAAAAAAAAAAAATCTCTAAAACACAAGTGAATGGAGTCCTAGAAGGAAAGGAGAAAGATTAGGACAAACATGAGGAAATAATGACCAAAAATTTTTACAAATATGATGAAAGTTATTAATCAGTGATTTAAGAAGCCCAACAAACCCAAGGAAGATACATATTATATATATATATATTATATACATTATACACATTATAGTAAGAAATATGATGGCTAAATTGTTAAAAATCAAAGATAAAGGGAAAATCTTCAAAAAGCCACTTTATCTTCAGGAAGATAACATGACAGCTGCTTTCTTTAATATAAAATATGGTGGCCAGAAGGTGATGTTTTACAATCTTCACATTGCTGAAAGGAAAACTGCTAACCTTTCATTTTAAATGCAGCAAAAGTGTAGCTGAAAAGCTTACAAAACAAAGATAACCTCAGATAAAACAAAAATTGAGAGAATTCATCTGGCCCTTGGAAAAACTGAAGAGTTATAAGGAATAAGTAACAATACATCTCATAAATATGAGGGCAATATAAAAGTCTATTGAGAATTTAAATAATAACAACTTAAGTTTATAAACACATGTTAAAGTAAAATACACGACGATAATGGCACAAAAGAGGAAGGAGGAAAATGTAGTTAAACTTTTACAAGGCTCTTGAATTCTTCAGGATATGGCAAAAGTATACTTACTTTAAGGTAGACTGTGATAATACATTTAGTAATACCTAGCATAATGACTATAAAAAGGATACTAAAAGATAAAACAAATTTATATTGGAGAAAAAATGGAATCACTAAAAAAAAAATACAATACATAAAGGTGACAGAAAAGAAAAAGACAAAAGGACAAAACAAATAGAAACAAGATGGTAGACATAAACTCAACTATATCAATAATTATATGAAATATTTATGGACTAAACATTTCAATTAAAGACAAAATTGTCAGGGTACCTGGATGGCTCAGCTGGTTAAATGTCTGGCTCTTGGTTTTGGCTCAGGTCATGATCTCACGGTTTTGTGGATTTGAGCCCCGCATCAGGCTCTGTGCTGACAGTAGGGAGCCTGGTTAGGATTCTCTCTCTCCCTGACCCTTCCCCACTTGGGCGTGTACGTGCACTCTCTCTCTCAAAACAAATAAACAAACTTAAAAAAACTATTTTAAATGTATAAAATTGAAAAGGGTCAGGCTAAATTTTCTTTATTC